TGTATGTGATTGTTAATATTTCAAATGTTATCCTTTGGCTGATTGGAAGCCAGTGGAGAGATTGAATGAAGGGAGTTGCGCACACTCCCTTCATTCAATCTTGGTTGGTTAGGTTAGGAATGAGTCTAGCAGCAGCATTCGTGATAGACTGAAGGGGAATAGCCTGTCTAGAGGTGGGCCAATGAGGGGAGAGTTGCATTAGTCGAGAAGAGAGACAATAAACAAGTGGATAAGTAGCTTTGTGGTTGTATCAGATGTTGTATCAGCTGAGTCGTATCAGCTGAGTCGAACTCCTTCTGCAATTCGGGTCGGTTGGAAATGCTGAGCATGCTCGGCCGACCCGAAGCCAGCCGAAGCAAGTCAATGTACGGCTGATTTCAGCCAATATATGGCTGAAATCAGCTCTACAAGCCTTAAGTGAAAAGCCGAACAGCGTTTGGGTCACTTCACTTCGGGTCGGTTATTCACATGGCTGCCTTCGGCAGCTTTGTGAATAACCCTTTGAATGATTATAGGAACGTATGTGAACATTAATACCCACATCTATTGTCTTGACAAGGCCAGAGGGCCTCTTCTTTGTCTCATCCTTCTTTTTTTTCTCAGTTGCAAGACCATTTTCACTTTATTCTTTTATAACCTTTAAATTACCCTCCTAGCTTTTCCTGTGCAGTACCTTTAATTTCCTAATAGGCTGCCCTGTCCCTTTTTTCATAACAACCAATGGTGGGAGGCTGCAAAAAATCCAAATCTCTGATGTACCTGTCCATAATTGTAAAATACTACTTCCTAGACAGGCACATGCTTTAATGCTTTAGCGCTGTAGAAGTTAGCCCTGTAAAACAGTGGTGGTCAAATCACTTGATATACAGTAGGGGGCCTTAAGTCTGGCCTCTAAAATCACCAACTGGGTGAGCATAATATTCAGTGATTGTAATCCTACAGAAAGCTGCCAGAGACTGTAGACATGCAATATGATATGTTCAGAGTCTGCAGACATGGCAGCGGAGATGGTTAGAGACTGTAAACATCCAACAGTGGTTGCTGGTTACTGAAACTTGCTTCAGGAGATAGACATAGACTTGAGACACATTACATGGGGATGCTAGAGATAACTGTTACATTTACAAATCAATGCATACACATTTCTGCTCCCTACAATCCCCTTGCCACATTTGATATTTATGTTAGCAAGTTCAATTACAAATGATCAGAGGGAAAAAAAAACATAGAGGGAGGGGAATAGACAGCACAGCAAAAAAGAAATATAGTATGAGATAAATATGAGATAAACAAGCCATTTAACTAATAGTATCCAGCTAAAGAATGTTTGGTTTACTGGCTTGAGTACACAACTACATACAAAAAACACTGATTACTGCCTGGAGGGTCCCAGAGGATTGCATAATAAGTGCCGAATGGCTAATTTGGCCTTCAGGCCTAGGGTTGCCACCTGTCCAGGATTCACCCGGACAGTTCGGGTTTTGAATGCTGTGTTCGGGTTTCATGGCTGCAGAAACCTGTACACAAGATGTCAGGCAGACAGGGGCAACCAAAATTAAAATAAGGGCTACTGGCCCCCCACTGAAAATGGTCTCAACTGTGATATTTACATATGAATGGGTGGCACTATTTGCATATAAATAAGCCACGAATCATACTCCCACTAAAATGTAGGCGTGGCGCTAGAGTGTTCGAGTTTCGCTTAAGGAAAAGGTGGCAACCCTATTCAGGCCACAGGTTGGGCACCAGGTATAAAGAAAGCTGTGCAGTTTGCAGTCAATAAAACACAATACAAACTCTTACTCCATTTTTGCATGAAAAAACAATATAAGGGCACTGTAGATACACATTCAGTAATTAAAAAAAAAGTAAAATACAACCTTTTTTCATCAACTGACAAGTGTGAATGTGTCAATTTTTTATTTCAACAAACCTAAATATGGGATGCAGTTTAAAGTGTGGAGCAAAGAAATAGATACACTTAATTGCCACCCTGCTGATTTAAATAGTCATCTTTTCTTTGGCACCTGGTGTTTTTGGGTATGGAAAGCATTTGAGTCATGCCCCTACATCCTACTAGAAAATGAACAAGCACCCAGAGATCTCACACTGGGGTGGGAAGAAAGCCCTCAGCCTTGTATAAGTTGCAAGACACCACTTGGAGCTTATATTCTTCTAATCAACAGACACTCAGATAAAAAAAACACAATTCTTTATGAGACTTTTGGTTGAAGGGAACTGCTAGTGTCTGTAGCCAAAAATGGTGAACTTTCCCCTGTAATCTGTGACTTACGGGTCTATTCACTAAGCTGCCGAGGGCAGCCGAGTGAACAACCGACCCCAAGTGAAGTGAGCCGAACACTGTTCGGCTATTCACTTCAGGCTGGTATGGCTGATTTCAGCCGTACATCGGCTGAAATCAGCCGTACATCGGCTTGCTTCACATGGCTTCGGGTCAGCCAAACACGCTCAGCATGTTCAGCCGACCCGAAGTGCAGAAGGAGTTAGACTCAGCCGATCCAACATCTGGATCGGCTGAGCCAAACCTCCAGCAGGCTACTCACTGCTGTTCGGCCTATTCTTATAGATGCCGAACAGCAGTGAGTGAATAGCTGAGCGGCATTCGGCTCGGCTGTTCTGCTCGGTCCCTCAGAGGGACCAACAGAACAGAAAAATAGTTTCAAAAGTTAAAAAAAGGAAATAGAAAACGATTGTGCGAAGCTAGCAGTGACAGCTAGCTCCGCCCAATAGTATGGCTTTCAGCACGGCTCAGCCGAGTCAATGCATATGCGTTCAGCTCGACTGAGACGCTCGGCCACGTTCGGGAGCTGTACGGGCTATAGTGAATAGCCCGTACAGCACCCCTTCGGTTCTACTGAACCGAATGGGGTCCTGGTGCCGAAGCTAGCCGAAGGATCGGCCGAAGCTACGGCTAGATCCTTCGGCAGCTTCGTGAATAGACCCCATCGTTTTCAGCAGTGAAATTTGGAGCAAAAGGTAAATTAATATGTTAAATTTAGGTGGCAGTTTAGTGAACTTCTTGTTTTGCCCTGCATGAGTAAAGCAGAGGTTCACCTTATGCCTGTGTTAGGCAGCCATCATATACACTGTAGAGGCATTTGCAACCAGATTTCACCTACATTTGATTCTTCTATGGGTTAGAGGAAGCAATACAAATGGATGGAGACTGCATCATTAATGTGAACAAACAACCATGCAGCCCATGCTCGTATTTATGCAGCACGCCTATATTTGAAAAAAAAATCTAACTGAATTTTAGTGTAACATTTCTCACATTGAGAACTTTCATATAGATTTATTTAATAGGGTGACTATATGTTATGTGCAAGTGTACCTCACTACTAAGCATATTTCAGTTATATGCTGTCAGATCAGTATAAGATGATCTAATCGGTTTTTATATGATGCTGTGCTTTGCACAATTTCACTTTGTGATATTCTTTTAAAGCCTTATAGCATTTTGATGACCCTGACTTGTCTCCAAGTACATGTGTTTCATCTTGTTGGGTCACAAAAGAGATTGTTATGTATAACGGCACTTATCTTTGGTTTGGCTATGTCTATCAGTGTTCTTTGGTCTGCATGTTCTAAAAAGGTTCACGTGGGAGAGCTTTGGCAGGATTTAATAGCCATTTCTGTGTGCTGATAGCAATAGAGAAAGTGTAATTGTTTTCCTTTTTAAATACAATGTGGAGTCCCCCCCCCCTGTTCAGATATCTTTATGAAGTAATATGACACAGCACTCATAACTTATGGTAAGCTCCCCCTTTCCCCTAGCATGTTGGTTTTCTGATTTTAGTGGATCAAATCTATTCATTCTATAAATGAATTGGTGTTGATTTACTAAAGGCAAATAGGCTGTTCATTTTGCATGGGAATTTGCACTTGACAGTGGAAGTGCCCTATAGCTCGGTGAATGTGGTGGCATTTTACTTTGCAAAGAATACTCAGTCCTGTGCAAGGACAAAAACAAAACAGTATTTTTGCTTGCACATGATTAGGTGATGGAAGTCAGTAGACCTTCACCTCATTCACTAAACTAAAGGGGGGCAATTCTACTGCAAAGTACAAATTCCCTTTTACAGTGTACCGCATATTTGCCTTTAGTAAATCAACCCCATTATTTATGACTGGCTGTCTTGCAGTATCAGGCTTCATTTGCAGCAGTGCATCTGAAATATTTGACTACAGCTTGAATATTTTTCAGGTTGAAGGGTTTTGAAGCAGGGGCCGCATTTCTATAAAAAGGATAGCCGCTTTGAATGGTTTCAGCTATGAAGATTTCAAGTTTCTGTAAATATAATTTACCCAGTTGGTACAGAAAGTAATTCCTAAACCCAAGTCAGAAAGGACAGCAGATTTCAACAGGAAAACGTCTGTTTACTTAGCAAAACTTCTAATGTGCTCTTACATTGTACAGTTATTAATTATTTACTTACACATAAAAGGTTATTTGTTGGAAATGTTTTATTACACAAGTTGGCAACAGTGGTGCAGAAGAACTCCAGGTTTGTTAAGCAGCGAATCCATTTTTTATTTAGTTGCAATGCTCCATTGTTGCATTATGCTTTTCAAAGCCATCTTTGCAAATGGCTTATTTTAAATAGAGTCTCCAAATTCACATATGCTGACTCTAAACTCTTTCAATGGGCCAAAATCTAATCATGATTTTCTCACAATGAGGGTCCAATTGTTATTTTTATCTTTATATTCTAAAACAAAAAAAAACTCTACTTGCTGAATATTTTAAAATGCTGTTTATGTCATCCAAATTTTATTTTTTCATAATTAAACATTTTTTTCTAAATCACTTTGAAACTTCAAAGTTTGCAAAAAGGTAAATTTATAACTGTTAAATATATTTCTATTTTTAATTGGCAAACACAGTGCAAGTGTTTGATCCTTTATGTTGACATTGATTGCATAAATTAAAGAATTTATGACTGGAACTAAACATTTGTTCTCATTTGCTTCTTCAGCCAAAACATCCTAACCCAGACTGGCGTTACTCTGCATCACTAAAAGCTGCAATGCAGGGGTGAGTACATATTTCATTTTATATTTTAATTCATATCACTAAAACAGAGCAACACAAACCACTCACATTTAAATTAAAAGAGTTTGATATAGTGCTAAAGTAAAAATGATTACTTGCAGATATATGCTGATAATGCTACGTTGAACTGTTTTATATAGAAATAATGGTTGATGGAACTAAAACTCAGGTCAGACTCAGGGGTAACCACATACTTATGAAGTGTATGATCCCTTTTGGTTCCCCCCCCTGGAAGGGACATACACAGGCTCCCTGTCCCCCCATCCTCTGACATTTACATGATTGAGAAAGTTGTGCAGTGAGCCAGAATCCTTTTAACTGGTGTTTGGGGCAGAAAGTGATTGGAAATGCAATCCTGTTGTGTGCATTTTTTTAAGGTGGGATACCTCCTCACTTTGGAGAGATCTCCTTTCAGGAGGTGAGGACAAATCTTCCAACTGGAGAACCTGTTACATAGTTACATAGTATTTGAGGTTGAATAAATACATTAGTCCATCAAGTCCAACCTATTAGGATCTCATTCTAGGAGTACCTGTACCCCTGTATATTACGGTCCCTTAAGAAATCGTCCAAAAGTTTCTTGAACAATTCCACATTATTTGCTGAAATCACCACCTGTGGCAGTGAGTTCCAGACCCTAACTGATCTTACTGAAACATCTGGTCTGTGTTTAGATTTTGAAATAAGCTTTCCCATTTTATTTTCCCCACTAGGTTGCGCAGCTTATCAAAGTTGGCCCTTCTGAAGTTTAGGGTTCTAGTCCTTCCAGTATAGTAATAATTGTCTAAGCAGGGATTTCCCTTCGCTTTGGGGAAAATGCTTTTGCTTCCTGCTGTGTCTCTGGGACAGAAAGTGAACAGAAATCTCCGTAAAAGGGGTCTTAAAGAAAAACTCTTGTAAAAATTATTCTTAACCCTTGCAGTGGGGCTACCCCGGCACTGTAAGTGTTAAGTGCTTGTTTTCATCCAGGGTGTAAAATAACAAAGTTATACTCCTCTGAACCTTGCAGCTAGCTGGCTGTTAAACCACTCACTCCAGCCTGTCTCCTCCTCCACTGCAGCAATGGAATGTGCCTCGACATCCTCACGCCCAATACACAGTGTGTTGGATGTGATGCCTCAAGGATCCTTAGATGTCTGGAGCAGAAGGGAAGAGAGGCTGGAAGGTTGGTCTAACAGCCAGTCAGCTCCAAGATTAAGGTGAGTATAACCTTTTTATTTTACACCCTGGATGAGACAAAGCGATAATTTTGCCACTTTATAGATCACTGGTTCAGCCTCATCTTGAATATGCGGTTCAGTTTTGGTCACCAGTCCACAGAAAGGATGTCCTTGAGCTAGAGAGAGTCCAAAGAAGAGCAACTAAGCTAATTAAGGGGCTGGAGGACCAAAGCTATGAGACAAGGTTGCTACATTTAAACTTGTTCACACTGGAAGAGAGGAGATTGAGAGGGGACATGATTTCATTGTACAAAATGTTTAGTGGTGATGGCAACATCAGCACTAAACTTTTTACTGTAAACTCTGTAACAATAACTGGGGGCCACCACCTAAAATTGGTGGAGTAAAGATGTATCCACAAAGGGTGTAGGGGATTCTTTTCAGTGAGAGCGGTTACATTTTAGAACTCTCTGGCACAAACAGTAGTATTTGCAAAGAATATTAATTTGTTCAAAAATCAATTAGATACCATCCTAAGAGACCGTAACATACAGGGGTATGGGTACACTTAAATACTAGACCACACAGGGACTCTTATATACATGCACGCACAACACACACACGCACAAAGGTTGAACTTGCTAACTAAGCTGCCGAAGGATTTAGCCATAGCTTCGGCTGATCCTTCGGCTAGCTTCGGCCCCAGGACCCCTTTGGTTCAGTAGAACCGAAGGGCTACTGTATGGGCTATTCACTATAGCCCATACAGCTCCCGAAGTCCGCCGAGCGGCTCAGTCGAGCCGAAGGCATATGCTTCGGTTCGACTGAGCCGAGGTGAAAGCCGAAGCTGGCCGACCGACAGCCTGCTACTGACTGCTGGGCGGAGCCAGCCGCCCGGGAGAGAAACACTTTCTCCCGGAAAGTTTTACTCTACTCGATCATCAGGTCCCCTCTAGTGATTGACAGCAGCAGAGGGCGGGTGCAATAGCTAGTTTGCTATTGGCTATTGCAGGAATCTAGCTATGCATTCCTATGGTGTTTATTTTATTTATTTTTTATTTCTCCTGATGGCAGCAGAACCAACCTGCCAATAGAAAACAGTTGGGCGGAGCTAGCTGTCAATTCTAGCTCCGCCCAATGATTTTCTGTTTTATTTTTTCTACTTTTTTAACTGTTTTTCTATTCTGCAGGGTACCACAGAGGTACCCAGCAGAATAGCCGAGCCGAATGCCAAACAGCAGCGAACAGCAGAGGTTCGGCTTAGCCGATCCACATGTTGGATCGGCTGAGTTGAACCCCTTCTGCACTTCACACGAAGCCACACGAAGCAAGCCCATGTAGGCTGATTTCAGCTGATATATGGCTGAAATCAGCCGTACAAGCCTGAGGTGAATAGCCGAACAAAGTTGGGCTCACTTCACTTCGGGTCGGTTAATCACTCGGCTGCCTAGCAGCAGCTTAGTGAGTAGACCCGTAAGTAACTATGTAACCTTTCCCTACTGAAAACGGATTGACGTTACATACCCTTGAATGCTTTATTTTCCTAACAAGCTATTTTTTCTTACTTATCAGGTAAATTATATGTTTGTATTGAATACTGTTATTAGGTGATTACATAATATACCCTAAAGGAATATAGAGTAAATGATTGAAAGCAATTTTTGACTGACAGAAGGCAAGGGAAATTACCACATAATTTTCTTATATTTCTTTGTTTTTTCGTTGATACAATAAGTAGTTGACCTACTTCACAGGGGTTGGAAGTTTGGGGAGGGGTGTTAAATTATAATTAAGAAATAAAATTAGGAAATAATACATTTTGTTTACCTGCAGGTACTGCCCATAAAAGACATATTGGTAAAGATTTTGTTCAATTCACTGTAGATTAAAAGAAGCATTTCCACCATTTTCATACCCCTCCACATATTAAAAGAGGAGTCCGCAGTCACTGCCCCATTACCTGATGTTTTTATATGAATCTAGCAGTAAAAACCAAGGCTGGCAACAGTCGCAATGTTTATATCCCAACACAGGTTAGGTTTGTTAGGATTGGGTATTGCTTGGTTAACTGGGGGTGAAGTTTTGTTTACAACAGGGGGCAATTGTGGGCATAGCGTTCTGTTTTAGGCTTTTCTTTTTCCATATCTCTATAGGTTTAACTTGATGGACATGTGTCTTTTTTCAACCTCACTAACTATGTACCTATGTAACATTAAGTGGAAAATATATTTTCCCCCATTTTAATTTAAATACCCAATACTTTGTTGCAAGAACACAAATGTATGGATTTGAAGATTATTCATTATTCGAAAATATTTGTTCACAAACTACTGGTCTTAGCAAACAAAGGCCTTAGCTTCAACTAGGCTTTGATATATACTGATCCATTTTTGTAAATGTGTAACTCTTTTTAAAATCAATTTAAAACATCCAATTTTTACTCTTTAGAGAAGTGAAGATGTCCAGTGTTTACTTCCTGACCCATCTAATCCAAAAAATGATTTTCCTGATTCCCTGTCCCTCTGTTTTGTCCTTCATAGTTATGTCAGATAACCAATAGGACAAACTGTGGTAACAATGCTGCCCACTGGGTATGGGCAGTACATAATTTCCACATATACTTTATTTTTAACTGATGGGGATACACTATTGCAAGTAACACACAAAACTGATACACATACTAAGACTCAATTACATTATTGACTGTAACAAATGGACAATCACTTATACACAGCACAAAACACAGTGACACACATCGTGTTCGCCTCTTTGATAGAAATAGTTAATGTACTTTTGTGGTGCCTTTTAATGTGTCAAGCTACCATAAAGGTAAATATTTATATTCTTTTTTTTATGTATGGTCTGGTCTTAGTTAGCTCTTGATCACCAACCCAGCAAATCTATGCTTTCTTTTCACATCAAGTTAAGTTAAAAAAAAATATGTTTAAAGGAGAATTATGACCTAAGGGCAAATAAAAATACTTCTTGCCTTTACTCTAATAGCATTCTTCTTCTTTTCCAAAGTCGCAGCATATCCCAGATAAATTAATCACAAGTCACATAAAACAGCCACCTGCAGCCATGCTCCAAGCTCCTTTCCTCTTAGGGGGCGTTAACAGGGAATGCAGCCCCGCCCTCAGCTTTTTTTGCTAACTCTATCTGATGTGGTCGCGCTTTCTCTAGTCAAGCACACTGTGTACGGCTGGAGTGTGCACGCTGACATGTGGGAGCAGGAGGCAGAGTCTCAACTGAGAAGCAGCAAGCTGACTCAGTCTCCCTTCATTTCCCTCTTTCTTCACCGATCTGTCTCAGTAATCAGATGCTTGCAGCAGTTGTATGAAAACCTGTTCCCCCGTAAATCTTAGTTCCCCTTGACCGTTCAGCTATTACCATAACCCCGTCCCTTCCTTGCAGCTGCTTAGTATTTACATAGCCCCGCCCCTCTCTGCAAGCTCCGGTGTTTTATGAGAAAGAGACGAATGTCTTCTCTCACATTGTGTGCTCTGATCGTACTGCTGCACATTTTCAAGACGGAGAGAGAGGAAGGAGGGGCGAAGACACTGAGGAGAAACGGCCTTCCTTGCAGGCGCTGTTATTTGCTGCGCATGCCCATGTATTTGTGGATGCGCATCAGTTCTCAAAGAATGCCCTCAGTCACAGTGAGAACGATCAGTTGGGAGGATCCCGCCAGTATTGTCGGGATCCCTCCCCACTGCGACGTTTAGCCCCGCCCACCATCTTACAATCTTACACCATCTTACACCATCAAGTAACGACTGTATGTTTATGGTGCATTTTGGATTATAGGAGTAAATTGCAAAATGTACTCCAATAGCCCATGGAATCCAAAAGTAAAGAAAAGCTTGGACCCCATAGTTCTCCTTTTATACCAACCACCTAGGCAAGAAGTGTAGGGAAATCTCTCAGAGGGGTGCACCGGCAGCAATAGAAATGGAATAGAGGTTATAATGCTGCCACATGCTGCCAGAGAAATGGTGTTTAATACTCTCTTTGCCACTATTGGTAATTCCCTTCCAATTAGCAACACAAACAGGAATAAAAAACTTGACAAGGTTCTAGGAAGTAATGATAAGCAAACAATAAGAATTCCTTCACTGATCTTATTTTAATAAACATAACTCTGACTGGCTTCAATTAATTATTGTTTTACCGCCCTTTGGACATCATCACATTTTTAATTGACTTAAAAATCTATGTTTAAATTGTACAAATGTTTTTTTTGTGTGCAAATACCCATTAACTTGACTTCTCTATTTTCTATAGTGCTGTACATATGGAAGGAGCAGCAGTCTTACGTGGCGCAGCTGTAGGACTCGAACAACAATGGCCAACAGTTTCCAGTGCAACACCAGGTAAAGCAGTCACCAAAACTACAGATTTATACCATTAAGTTAGCATTTTAAGCCAACCTTTACTTTTTACTTTAGTGTAAAATGGTCCTACCCTTTTCTCTGAAAAATTGCCAAGATATTTCCTGCTTATTATAATTTACTTGGGTGTCCATTAATCAAATCACATTTGAGAGAACACAGAAGTGACCTTAATTCTCAAACTGCAATTCAGGAATTACTGACAATTAAAAAAACAAAACATACATGATGGAATTAAATGCAAACTTACCAAGAACAACCAAAAAGCAAAGTAAAGCCATATACAAAATATAAAATATACTAGGCTAAATATTCAAAATAATTTCACGGGCAATCAGATGCAAAGCTTTGTAAGACAAGACTGGGAACAAAACAGAGCTCAAACAAGCCAAAGTGGGGAACATGCCTAGTATGGATCATTGGATGACTAGCAGATCAGAGCATAGTACAGTATGGGAGCTGTTTGCTGAGGTGCCTGGTTGGGCAAAGGTCATAGCAAGCAGGTACAGATGGTGAATAATACAGAGCCCAGGGAGATATATTTAGATAGCGACTGAGTGCATTTAACAACAGATCCCAAGAAGCAGTGTTAGCAGCAGTTAAAACCAGATTACTGGGAAGCTCATATTAACATTTATTTTGTACTGGGAACTACACAGTTTAACCACTTGAATACTGCGGTGTCAAACCCCCTTCCTGTCAAGGCCATATTTTAGTATTCAGTGCTGCAGTACTTTGACTGACATTTATTCAGCCATGCAACCCTGTATATAATTTTTCGTAACAGATAGACATTTCTTTTGGTGCTATTTATCACCACTGGATTCTTAATTTTTTACTATATAAAGAAAAAATTACAGAACATCTTGAAAAAAAATGTGTTACCTACCTTGTGTTATGAAACATTTATTATTACCCAACTTTTTGGTAAAACATAAAAGGTGGGGTCACATTGGGTAAATAGACACCAAACATATCAAGCCTTAAATTTGCGTTCGTCCGCAAATTCGCAAAAAACTACCATACCCAAAATTATTCATAGGCAATGCTTTAAGAGCTTTAACCACTCTTCAATTTAGGGCTAACAGTGATTGATGGCCCTAGAATATTGCTTGCACTCTGATATTCGTGGTGATATGTAACATGTGTGGTGTAATTGCTGTTTTCCCACATAGCCACACCCGGAACATGTTTGCGTATGTATGTGCCCGTACATGGAGGCGGGGGACTTTAACAAAATGTTTGTGCTTTTTAAAATATTTTTTATGTGTGACTTTAATTTTTAAACTTTTTGTTTACACTTAACTTTATTGCTATCACATAGATAACAAGCCCGCTATGTGACAGAAAGGAGGATGTGACAGGTCCTTTTTATGGAGACATCAGGTCTATTAGACCCCTAATGCCTCCTAGGGACCCCCAAAGAAACTGATGAAGTAAAGATCTGCTTCACCAGCTTCTTCTCTGATTATAGCAGCCGGAGAAACGACAGCCTAAAAGCGGAAGTTATGTAATTCACATCACTTTGACATTCAATGATCTAAGGGGAGTTCAGCCAGTGGAATGTGCTGATCTCAGCCACAGAGACCCACTGTGCCAGTCCCGGGCCGGCACAGAGGACAGCGGAACCCGGGATAGCTGGCGGTAGAGGGAGGCACTCACCACCAGCACCCCTCTCTCACTGTTCCTACACCATACAAGTGATCAGGCAGCTCTATAGCTGCCTGGGCACTTGTATATATCAAAGACTATTTTTTGTCAAACTTTAGGGGGGTACTGGAGTGCTTCATGTTATATACAGGAATTGCATCCCTTCTGCCACACCCCCTAACATTACTTCCTGTTTGATCACTACAAAGCTGCAAGGTTCCAGAGAGCGAGTGCTCAATTGTTTCAGAGCTATCCACAGTGTGTTCCAGTTGCTAGCTGTGTGATTCTGTTACCTGAACTTTGCTGCCTGCCCTGACCTTATGCTTCGTTTGACTATGATTATTGGATTTACCGTTGTCAGGAACCGGGTCCGAACCCAGAGCCTCTGCTGTAGCTGGTGGTGGTTCTACCTGCTGAGCCACCTAAGAACCTTGGATAGCTCCTTGCCTGATCTCCTGTGTATCCTCAGTTATACCAAATCAGATGCTGAACTCTGACCTCCTTGCTCCTCCCTTGAACTTCCTATCGGATTGCCAGACAGAGAAGCAAGATTTGTCACTCCAGATAACACGTCTCCACTTCTCTAGATTCCAGTGGTGGCATGCTCTACATCACTGCATCCAACGCTTTGGGGGTGATTTACTAACCTAAACACACGCACGCACCAGGTGCGTGTGATTTTCACACAGCAAAACGTATTTATCAACCAAAAAGTCTCTAAAAGCATATTTCCACTAATGCCATATATGGAAAAATCATGCACATGATGCATATATAATGCTGCTTCACAGTTTAGACAAAAATGGTTAGCTCATGCATTTACATTCCTGCATTCATCAACGCAAGCAACACAACATAGAGCTAATTTACACAACATCACCTTGTAATTCATGCAGGGCTTTGCACAACACACCTGCTGGGTGTGTACACACTACAAAGGTGTTTAGATTCCACCCATAGATCATGCTGGGAGGGAACACACTACAGAGGTGTATACATGTTCGTGGTGTGTTTATAAGGTTAGTAAATCAACCCCTTTGCATTGCACTTGGTGATGTAAGGCTTGGATGCAGCTGCTTGGCCATGGAAACCCATTCCATGAAAGCTCTCTACGCACTGTTGTTGTGCCAATCTGAAGGCCACATGACGTTTGGATGTCTGTAGCTATCTCTGACTCTGAAGACAGTTGGAGACTTCTGCACAATGTGCACTTCAGCATGTGCTGACCCCGCTCTGTCATTTTACATGGCCTACCACTTCATGGCTGAGTTGCTGTTGTTCCCAGTTGCTTCCACTTTGTTATAATACCATAAAGGAAATTTCATCGATGGACTTATTGCAAAGGTGGCAACCTATCACGGTACCACGCTTGAATTCACTGAGCTCCTGAGAATGACCCATTCTTTCACGAATGTTTGTAGAAGCAGGCTGCATGCCTAGGTGCTTGATTTTACACACCTGTGGCCATGGAGGTGATTGGAACACCTGAATCCAATGATTTGGAGGGGTGTCCCAATACTTTTGGCAATATAGTTTATCTTTCTCTGAGTTCATTTGAGGATCGGTATATACTCTTTATCTGGCAAGTGCTATTTTGAAGGAGACCGGGTGAAATGGCGGGAATGTTGTAAACCTATAAACGGTGAACGGAGGAGATATGACCAGTGAAAGGAAAGGATTGGAGAACCTTTGAAATATGTGGTTTGTGACCATCTTTTAAGAGAGGGTCATGAAGTTCTGGTGAGAGCGGACAGATGGTGTTGTTTGCCACCTGGGATCAAGGGATCACTGGAGTATACATAATATAAAGAGCACTCACATGCGGGGAGTAGTGGGGACATTTTTTTTATTACTATTGTGACTTTTGGTGATTTAATGCACATCTGGTGAAGCACTCTTTTTGATCACTGTATAAGTGGATTAAGCACTTTTGATGTCTGAAGATTTGTATGGATTATTATATTTGAGCACACTATAGTTTTACATTATTATTTATATTATCTTGGTAATAATTTGTATTTTAATTTATAGTTATTGATACACATTTTTATTTGATTGTTTGCAAGCGCAGTGCACTTTTTTTTTATATATACTGTACTTTTAGGTGATATCATATACACTTATAGCACAGCAGCTGATAGAGCTTATAACTCCATAGCATGGATCTGCCAATAATCTAATACTATAACCTACCAATCACCCTTTTGTGGTGCCTTCCAACCATTTATGTACAATAGCCAGATGGCAACCAGTTAAAGATGCCCTAACCACAAAATGTAATTATATACAACTTTCCAATCTTGGCAGTCCCAGTAATGAGGCAGCCTGAGGTGATTGCCTCAGGTGCCATATTATTGGGTTACTTGCCTCCCCCTTTCTGGCCAAAGCATCCCAGGTTGCTAAGAGCTCTTAGCAACCTGGGATGCTCTGGCCAGCATCCCGCCCACCTCACTGATGACACTGGTTGTTAGAAGTTGAGTGGGACACTCTGGCGCCCCTCCCAGCTCATGGCAACCAGTGATGTCAGTGAGCTGGCTGGGATGTCAGACAGAGGTAACATCTCTTAAACAATGCAGAGCTTATTTCAAATATTCATGTATAAGAACATCTGGGTAGCAGTGACCATAATATGATTTAATTTAACTTAAGTTGTAAACAACATGCACATACTGGAAAAATAAAAACACTTAACTTCAGTAGAGCAAATTTTCCCATGCTGAGGGCCGCTCTTGAAGACTTAGGGGTCTATTCACTATGCTGCCGAGGGCAGCAGAGTGAATGACCAATCAGAAGTGAAGTGAGCCGAACACTATTCGGCTATTCACTTCAGTCTGGTACGGCTGATTTCGGCCTATAATAATACGGCAAAACATATTCCAGTAAGAAATAAGTTTAAAAGGCTAAAAGTAAAACCCATGTGGCTCACGTACTATGTTAAAAAAGCCATAAAGAATAAGAAAAGGGTGTTTAAAAAATATAAAAATGAAGGAACACTGTCATCATTTGAAAACTACAAAAATATAACAAAATATCTAAAAAGGAAATAAAGCTTGCAAAGATTCAAAACGAACGACAGGTTGCAAAAGATTGCAAGATTAACCCCAGAAAATTATTTAAATATACTAACAGTAAATAAATCAGGTCTGAGCATGTAGGCCCCTTACAAGATAACTCAGAGTGACTGGGGACAAAGAGAAGGCAAAGCTATTACATACCTTCTTCAGCTCTGTGCACACCAAGGAACAGGATGTAGCTCAAGTCCATAATGGGGATAAGAGTGCCATATCCTTTACTGAACCACATTGGCTGACTACTGATATGGTCCAGAAACA